GTCTTAAAAGCAGCTAGTCAACACAACCAGCAGCGAGAGGATCTGTGTTGCTAGCAAACACACAGCTCACAAAAGAATGCATGACTTGGAAAATGATCATTTATATCTCTGTTTGCTTTTGCATGTTGCCTTAAAAAGCACAACTTGACTTTTTTTTTTTGGTAACACTTTTAGATAAAACTTCTAAATTGAGAACGCCAACTTTATCAGAGTCGGAATGCACAGATTGGCACTTTGCTATCTTATTAATTAACAGACGTTTGTTAGCGAGGTTATATGTGACAAATATTCATTAGATTTAAAGCACTGAAACACTGCCCCTTTAACTTGTGAAGGCAATTCCCATAGGACTTAATGGGCCGTGAGCAACATTGCAGTTATTGTGCATAATCCATCATGGTGTCCGTTTTCATCACGATGCCTTGAGTGCACAAAAGGTTAGAGTTATTTATTTAATTAATGAACAGCTCTATCTGTGTTAGTTATTGCATCCAGATAATCCTAAAAAACACTTCAGGCTGATGTTACGTGGACGTAAGCCTGAGCCAGGCTAATTACACTCATCTATACAGGGCTTCCATATGACTAATTAGTAGACTAGTTATTCAGAAAACACAGTGACTAGTCAATTATGAAGATATGTACTTTTGCCCTCTATCTGGCACCACAGGAGCCTCAGAGGCACCGAATGAAAACTGATCAATTGCAAATTCCCAAAGGCACGCCACTTCAAACGCATATCTTGCCAAGATTTACATTCCCCGCACCCCCCAATCCTTTACTTATACAAGCTTGCATGGAACCCCTGTTGAACGAGTGTGGTGTGGTGCAGGAATATGTACTTTTTCATGTGGTGCACTATAAACGCATTTAAAAATATATTCAAGATGTCTATAATTTACTCGCCAATCATTATCAAAGACAGCCAAGGATCCTGAAAAATTGTATGGATGTGTTCAGCCTCAACAGTCAAAGGCAATCATTATCTAGAAAAAGGGGGGAAAAAACATTACCCAGCAAATGTGGATGAAGTGATTCTGGCAAATCATTCTCCAAGTAAATTAAGATGGTTTGGCAGAACTTCAGCTTGTAAGCCATTACAGGTTTTATTTTTTCACTCCCCATGTATCTACAGTATGAAGGCTGCAGCTGAAAGCCAGTCTAGTAATATCACTAAAATACCACTACGTGAAAATATTCAACATTTTTAAAAGTAAGTATATCTCAACTAAGTACTGGCCTAAATATTGCTCATAACACTTTCACACCACAGTGCACATGAGTTAAACTGACACATCTTTGTTGGGGGGGTATTTTTGTGTTCGGTAACTTTTAATTTGAATAAACTTTCAAACTGAATTATATCAGTAGCCTAAAATGAATCACACTTTCATCGAAAAGAAAAGCAAAGGAAAGCCCAAAATGTAGCCAAGCTGAATGTTTGTGCCACAATAACTCAACCAAACACTATTAGCTGGATGAATATAATTTATGGCTGAGCTCATGACAGGGTGCCCCTGATGCCTAATAAAAGCCTGTAGTTCCTGCCATACCAGAAGAGCACCACCATGAAAATCATTTTCAACCCTCCAGTCTTTCAGGCTGTTCAAAGTTAAATCAAGGTCCTATCTTCCTCTATCCTTACCCTCACATTAATTAGGCCAAATGTTACCCTAGATTGGCACTGCTTTAGAAATAAGACTAAAACATGCCATTTTTTTGCATTGAAAAACAAAACATGGGCCTCTGTAGAGCCTGAATTGTTTTGTGTACTTTATGCAAGTTATTTACTCTTCAGTCTTAACAGTCCCTGAACAAAAAAACCGACTCTGGCTGTAGAGCAATCAGCTCTACAAAGCAAGAAAGTAAGGAACAGCACATCACTTTCATAAAAGGCTCAAATAAATTTACACAGTTTAACAAACATAGCTGAGATGAGCAGATATCTAGCTTTACATTTACAAATTTGCTTGATATTTTTATCCAACACAACTCACAACTGTGAGCAGTTGAGGGTTAATTGCCTTGCTCAAGGAATCAATAGTGGCAGTTTTGTGGTGCTCTGATTTGAACTCAGAACCTTCCGATCACTAGCCCAAAGCCTAAACCACTGAGCCACCACTGCTATCTAAAAAGATGGATACAGATAGTATCACAAAAGCACAGTACGTGCAGACAGAGCGGCTTGGCTGCGCTGAGGAAACAAGGTTGCTTGCAGGTTGCTTGGTAAAGGCTGTCCTGGCTGGCAGGAGCTTAAGGCTTATCCTCATCACACTTCTGAACTACATTTTACAGTCCACATTCACGGGTTTAACGTTCGCAGATTTGACTATTCGCGAGTTGCCCTCAATAATTAAACGGGATTTTTTTTTGTTGCAAAGTTTAGTAAGTCATAAACGCATAAAATATATGTATTATTAATCTATTTGTCATTTACTACCATAAATATATACACAAATTTATTTATGCACTAAAGCACTGCGGACTACGCACTCTGTTTGGGAACACCACGCTCTTTGTCTCGGTACTAGCCAGCCTCACTCACCTGTTTTGTCTCTCAGTGGTGTATCTCGCTTTTCTCTCAACTTTTTGCATCTTTATAGTGCAATAAAATATCAACTGTAATCATGGGTTATAAACGTTAATAATTTTACTGCTATCTAAATACTGTACATGTACTGCATCACATACAGTATGTGTACTGTATTCCCTCTCTCTCACTGTGTGTGGGTGTGTGTTAGCCTACATTGTTGATACTTCATAAAACATACTGTTGTAGTACAGTGTATTGTTTTACTTTTTTTTGTGTGTTAAATATGGGGCCTAGAGATGTTCATGGTTTTTCCACATTCACAGAGGTCCTACACCCCTAACCCCTGCGAATGTTGAGGGCTGACTGCACTGCAATTAAAAGCTTTCGTTTGGTGCTCCGGATTCTTGTCTGCACATCTCTGAAAAGCGTGTCTGGTTTGCAGCTATGGTTTGAGCTTAAAAAATGGTGCAGCCCCTTTTCACCTTTCAAACCGTAAGAAATCTCTGAAAAGATAACAGATTCTACTGAGCTAGTTCTGCATCTGAAAAACAGAAACACACACCTCTGTGCATGAACATGCACAAGCAATCTGTACACTAATGCAATGCAGTCTGTACACTAATGCAATACTAATGCAAATTCAAGAATGTTTGACTTCATATAAAAGCTGATCCGTGGGGTTTGGCCCACCTGTCTCTCAAGGATACATTACTAATTTCTAATTGTAGATTGCCTTCCAACATTTCTCACAAACGTAAGTAAAAACTTTTGTTATTTCTCTTACAGTTGTCTGTGCTCTCTCTTACAGTTATCCAATAATCTCAGATTAACCTATATGTTTATCAAACAGCTACAAAAAATGCATGGGCTCTATCAAATCAGTGCTTGCCAAGATGACACTGAAATGACAGATTTAATATAATCAAGGGGTTGGTCCTGAGGACGGACTAACAGAATGACATAACAAATCTGTTTTCCCTTTTGATGAGAGAAATTTGGCAGCCGAACATATTAAATATTCATGGAGTTCTCAGAAAAATGAGTCATTGTCCAAACATACGATGCATTTTCAGCTTGCTGGCTCTGTGCAAGGAGGCCATTTTATTTCGATTTAAGTTCACTCATGGCAAAAATGAGGCATGAAGGACAAACAGCCCTTCAATTAGAGGGACGTGTTATGACCAGAACAAACGACTCTTCCTTACATTAGCAGTTCTCTCTTAGTAGCACGGGGGTTAAGAAAAAAAAAAAAAAAAGTTAAAAGAAAAGGAACTCACTCTTTTCCCAAGAGACTGTTTAGGGGAAATTGTGACTAAAAATGAACTGTTCAAACAGCCAAACAGAAAGTAGGCATACACTACTGGGATAACATGTCAGAGCAGATACACAGAGCAACATTTTTAACCGTACACACCCACTGAGTCAAATCACAGCAGCCGCATGACTGCACATAAATCACCACCATGCAAACACCAGATTATGCACTACCTTTTAAAAGGACAAAAACCCAACAGCCATTTATAAATCAAAGATGATAAACAAATTTGTGTCACACTAAAATGACTAAACTTCTAGTTTCTTATCAGCACCTTATCACTGAACGTAATCAATAGTATTGAACACATATAACGAGGCGGTCAAAGATAATGCAGTGCCAAGCGCAATTTTAGTTAATTTATGACCAATAGCTATAAATGTAGGCTGGATTTAAGCAGTCACCTTACGATCAAGTTATGAAAGGGCACTTGTTACAAAAGCTCTTCTCACTGAGAGAACGTGGTGAACAAGGAATTACATACACCCGTTCAAATGACACTGAAGCAGCTTAAACTCAGATGATTATTTTTCTTTCTGGTTTGTTCAGACACTTAAATAAAGCACTTGCATTAGAGTTCTATTTGGACATTTTAAATATATAGTTTTATTAAACATACACTCTTTATTAGTACCATGAAAAGCTGAAACCCCACATGACTAACAGGAATGGACATCCTCATATGGTTCGAGAGTAGATCTTATCAAACTATCTATTGTAGCAAAGCAAACTACTGAAGCACAACTGAGCTGGAAAAACAGCCTTTTTTTTTTGCTTAAAAATATTCAGATGAAGTCCCCAGTTAAGTGTGTCACTGAAAATAGCATAGTGACTGTTCGAATCTTTTACGAATACCCCTATACCATTTGTTCTATCTTGTTTTCCAACCAGAACCATCATTTTAAATTTGGACAGTTTTCTATACAGGGCTGGACATCTGGAAATTTAGCTGCACATTATATAAGGACAAAACACACATTCTCTTTTAAATGAATACAACAATACGCTATGATACTAAATACGCTGGTTCCTGCATCAATAAACAAAGCAATACCGATGTCATAATTTGAACTATTATACTACAGCAGCTATAAATAAACAAAATAAAATTCAGAATCAACAGACGCTTTGTTTTCAGCGATTGCACTGAAGGGAACTGAAGACCAAAAGAACTTTCCCTGCAGCTCTTGGCAAACCCACGGATGAAGGTTACCCTATTTTTACACCAGGAGTCCAGATGCACATGACAGGGAGTATTTTTTTTAAATCCTGACCCACTTCACACAAGATCCACTGGAACTTAGGACACACACTCACTACAGTCTCAACTACTACGCTTGTAGATCCTTTTCTACTGTTTGTAGATTCGTCTTCCAGCAGCTTATCTTCTAAAACCTGAACATTTTCAATGCATGGTTATAATCTCATGGTAATACTTTGGCATTCATAATTTCACAGTGGAAAAAAAAAAGGGGAAGCGTGCAAATTTACCTTGAAGCTGCGTCAAAATGACAGTCAAATATGATGGGTTATGAATGTGACAAGTCTCTGCATTAGACAAATATTATGCATCATGACCTAGAACACAAATGACCTTTACACAGAGAAATTGCTCTGTTATTAAAGGAGAGATATTGTGTTGTAACTATGCTAACATTTGTTTTCCTCAGATATTGAGCATGGGATCAATGACAAGACCAGCAATATCAATATCCTCTCCAAACAACAAAAAGACAAAATAAAAAAAAAATACAACAGGCCTCAATTCAGTGAGCAATAAAGTAGCCGATTGAACAGCTGAGTGGCAAAGCAGAGCTTCTAACCTACTGATCATAAGCAGAAAGAGACAAATGGGAGCAATTTCACTTCCAGCCCAATTTTAACAAGCCTCATTTTCTCGACAACTTGAAAGGAAATCGCAGGGATACCTTATATCCCTTATATCCTATCACAAGAACCCAGAGTGTACTTGTGGCCGACGGTGTTTCAGGGATCAGGCGAGTCCATGAGCACACGCTTCCCCGCTCACAGTGCGCTGTGGCCGGTGTGTGCGCGCAGCAATGAGCCGGTTCCCCTCCATCCAGTGCGCACTCGCACAGCATTACACAGGGCAACTGCGCAGCACGGTGCATTCAACAACAACCGACAACAACGCCACGGCTATTACTGTATTTTATTTTATTTTTACACAAATGATCATTCGCTGGTCGGTCGTATTCCCAGTTGCAGCGCTATCACCTTATGCATTTTATATCAGCGCTGATACATATGAAACGATCGCTTTTTTTTCTTTAGCACGGACTGATCAATCGCACCATCTCCTACTTTCTCCACTTTATTACATTGCGTCCGCAGCCGTCTCAGGGACATTCTGCACCGAATCGCAATCGCCGCTTACTCCGAAACCATCAGCATGTTTTTTCCTGACTTCCCGAAGAAGTTTCCCCAGAAATCTACACCAGCAAGAGGATCTACATTTCTACACCACTCATCCATACTTAAAATATATATATACATATATACAAATATGAAATTTAAAGCGCTACTTACTGTGGTGGGATTGTATGTTAATGGTCGGAGAGAGATATTTTCCCGAGTGCAGAGCGGCCGCCGGGTGGCTCGCGCCCAGGTGGCCGGGAGACGGTGGGATCCTCCCGGGCGCGGAGGAAGCTCCGAGTCGGTGCGACTCCATGGCGAGTCCCGAGAGCAGCGGCGGGGGAACGTGCACGGATCTGGGGGGCCCGAAATCTCGGCCATCCATCATCCACCCAAGTGGGGAACTCGATTAAAAAAAAAACAAAAACCAAAACCAAAAAAAAAAAAAAAAAAAAGAACTGCTCCGATCGGCTATTCCGAAACAGCCTTATAATAATGTCCCTAGATTTCCAGGCAAATCCGCGTCCTTATCCGGCATCGTGCCGACCTACAAAAACAACAACAACAAAAAAAGGCTCGGATAAACAAACTAGGAGTTAGAAATGATCTGATTAAAAGATATGGAAGATATAAATAGCCTATATAAATACCAAAATATTTAACAAGGGCGTGATGACGCAGTTTGAATCAAAGTAGCTACAAGAGGATAAAAAGTAAGTTCACTCGGTGCAAGAAATTCTAGCTGTCTCCAAGGCGAGGACTGTACAGTCTTAAACATTAGTTTATCATGGTTAGTTGTCCCTTCACCATCGTGCACGTATCGCTTATGATGATTTGCTTGTGTGTGTGTGTGTGTGTGTGTGTGTGTGTGTGTGTTTTCCCGACCGCACTACGCTAC